AACAAATCTCCCGTTGATAAGGCTTTGATCACACCCATTAACTACAAACACCCTTGAGGGATGAATGGTTTGTAATTTCACCAAGATCCTGGAAGCCTCCGGGGCCTGGGCTGAGACTTCCATTCCCCTGGAGCCCTTGCTCCCCTCTCCTAGACGTCAAGATGCACTGTCCACTCACAACTACCTGGCCTGTTGTTTCAGGCAGACTTTTCTTAGACTCTGCAGAAACAATGAAATCAAATCTTGAACTTGCATGATGGTGACCTGAAGCTATGAATTTTTAGGGAAAACGTTCTTTCTTTTTTCTCTTTATTTACTGAAAACAGATTTCTTTTCATACAACATATCTTGGTCTCGGTTTCCCCTCTGTTCTCTCCTCTCAGATCCTCCCCACTTCCCCAACCCTTCCAACTCCATGCCTTCTCTCTCTTTAGAAAACAAACAGGCAAATTAAAAGCCAGAATAGAGCAAAACAAACAGGGCTGGGTGGGAGAGAACGAATAAGCATGAGAAGTGAACACACACAAAGAAAACCCATAAAAACACAAAACTGGAGCTGGGCAATGGTGGTGCACACTTTTAATCCCAGCACTCGGGAGGAAGAAGCAGGCGGATCTCTATGAGTTCGAGGCCAGCCTGATCTACAAGAGCTAGTTCCAGGACAGGTTCCAAAGCTACGGAGAACCCCTGTCTTGAAAAACAAAACAAAAAATAAAAACCCCACAGAATTAGAAGCCATAACATATAAATAAAAGAGCAATAAGGCAAAAAGTGCCCAAAGCATTGGGAGACAAAATTCTCCAAAAATGAGTTGGTTTTGAATTTCCATCTACTGCTGGGCATAGGGTCTGGCCTGAAGTGTGGTTTGTATACCCAGTGAGACTCTGCTGCCTCCAGTAGAGAAAACTAACTTTTCTTTTGCAAATGGTTTCCAATTGGAGATAGCGTCTTTATCAGGGATGGGTGCTGGGACCCCATCTTGCTTGGACCTCTGCAGACCCTGTGTACACTGCCAGTCTCTGAGTTTGTACGTATATCAGTTCTGCTGTGTCTTCTGCCGTATACAGTTTCCTTGATGTTCTCTATCCTCACTGGCTCTTATAACCTTTCCACTTTCTCGTCCTCAAAGTTGAGGGAAATGTTTTGTATCCCACGTATTACTAAATCCAAGGCAGACAAAACTAATCTGATTCTTCACTTTGCCAGTGAAGAACTATACTGGATACTTTAGATCCAAGTCTAGCAGCATTGCCTAAGTCATTTCTGCCAAAGCTACTCGCACCCCTCCTTGCCTCCTCCTCTGAGCTCTTAACCCTTTCATGCCCGCTCCTCTGTGCTCTGACCCCTCCTGGACTCCTTCTCTGAACTCCAACCTCTCCTGGCCCCCTCCTCTAAGCTGTACTTCTGATTCCCTGAGCCACTAGGACAGCCCGAGATATTTTCATTTCAGCCCAAGTCCATAAACCAGCCATAATCAGTACAGACTGAGCACATTATCTGCTTTCAACCAGCAGATTTCTTGCACCTCAGTTGCATACTTTGATTGAGGAGAGGGGGATTTTATTGTTTTGTTTTTCAAGACAGGGTTTCCCCGTTGATTTGGAGCCTGTCTAGAACTCACTCTGTAGACGAAGCTGACCTCGAATTCACAGAGATCCAACTGTCTCTGCCTCCTGAGTGCTGGGATTAAAGGTGTGCACCACCACTGCCCAGCTGAGGAGAGGGGGATTTTAATAGCAATTTTTTTATATTCTTGAGAATCTGTAATCCATTATAAGGTTAGAAAGAGAGATATCTCTTTAAAACAGTTATAGCTCTTACCAGCCTCTATCCTTCCTAAGGGATAGAGTAGATAGAGCTATAGACATAAAGCAATAGGCACTTTCTTTCTCCTACTCAAATAATTCAGTTCCGCTGGCTTTTTGTTGCTGTTGTTTGTGCTTTATGTATATGAGGGGGATTTGGTTTGGTTTGGTCTTTTGAGATAGGACTTCTTATGTCTCAAGTGGATCTTGAATTTACTGTGTACTCCAGGATGATCTTGAGCTGAGCCTTCTGCCTCTCCCTCCCAAAAGCTTCTTAATGCCAGACCAGCCCTCCACTAAGCTGCGCATCCAGTCTTCCCTTGAGCATACTGAGTAAACAGTAAATGCTATGGCTCCTCAGAGGCTAAAAGTAGTGAGACTACAGCAGCTCAGAATCTACCGTATCTTCTTTACCACAGGAAGGACTGATACTGTTGGTTTGGTTTGTTTTTGCTCCCCACACCAAGACAGGGTTTCTCTGTGTAGCCCTGGCTGTCCCAGAACTTGTTCTGTAGACCAGGCTGGCCTTGAACTCAGAGATCCACCTGCCTCTGCCTCCCAACTGCTGCTTTTCCCTTATCTCTCCACAATTTTCAGAAACAAGATTCTTATCCACAATTTCTTCAGCTAAAGAAATATTGCATTGTCTATTTTCTATCCTCTTTCTTTTTTAAAAAATATTTATTTATTTATTATGTATACAATATTCTGTCTGTGTGTATGCTTGAAGACCAGAAGAGGGCACCACACCTCATTACAGATGATTGTGAGCCACCATGTGGTTGCTGGGAATTGAACTCAGGACCTTTGGAAGAGCAGGCAATGCTCTTAACCACTGAGCCATCTCTCCAGCCCCTTCTATCCTCTTTCTTGTGGGAATAAATTTATTTGTTTGAGACAAGGTCTCCTTATGCCACCCAGCCTGGCCTTGAACTCACCAAGGATGACTCTGGTCTTCCCAGTCTCGTGTCCCCTCCTTCCCAGTGCCGGGGTTACTGGTGTGCACCACCATCCTACTAATGCAGTGTTAAGGGATAACACGTATGATGTCAATCCCTTCGCTTGGTCAACTGAGTCACTGGTGTACATAATCTGTAGTAGGGTGTTCCTGGAAATCATGTGGTCGGCCAACTCCTTTATAGACCAAGAATAGTCACTTCTGAGACACAAAGAAAAGATACTAGGAGAACCATGACTTCTTTGGAAGAATCCGGAAGGCAATAAATATCAGGACTTGGTATGAGGACATATTGAATGTCTATGGATTTGCTGTGACACGAATTTAAAAAACTTCTGAGAGTTTGCCAAATAACCCTATATTAACCCAGATGGATAATTTAAATAAGGAATGTGAGGACTATATTTGAATGCTTAATGAGTTCCCCGAAAAGCTACAAAAAGTATTGAATATGTTGAGAGTTCTACCTTTTTTGTTTTGTTTTTGAGACAGGGTTTCTCTGTAGCTTTGAAGCCTGTTCTGGAACTAGAACTAACTCTTCATAGACCAGGCTGGCCTTGAACTCACAGAGATCCGCCTGCCTCTGCCTCTGCCTCCCCAGTGCTGGGATTAAAGGTGTGTGCCACCACTGCCCGGCTTGAGAGTTCTACCATTATATAGGAAGATGTGGGTGTATGGTGTTGTGTCAGAGAAAGAGGAATTGTAAGTTAGGACAGTTCAAAAACTGAAAATGCAGTCAGATCTCTCTACCTACGGATTCCACATCTGTGGGTCAAAAACACCAGCAGAACAGATCACCACATACTATGTAACTGAACTTCCAATACTCTCAGGAATATTGAGTGACTTTGGAATTTCTGTCATTTGTCCCTAAATGACCTTATATAGCACTATATTTGGCATGCTACATAATAATCTAGAGATGATGTATATATTGGGAAGACTATGTAGACTGCATGCAAATACTACACCACTTCATGAGAGGTACTTGAGCACCCATGGGATTCTGTATGGGTGCTGTGGACTGTTCTGGAGCCAACTGCCCCTAGGGATACCTAAGAATAACTGTACTCATACAGACTCATGCAAATCATAGGACCAGTGGCTTGAAAGGGATCTACGGCGATTTAGACCAGCCTCCTAACATCTAGAGTTAATCCGACGGTGGAAGGAAACATGGTAGAATGTAAATAAACTTCACCAAAGTTTGCGGGTTTACTCTTGAGACCAAGAAATGGGTCTGCCGAGCACCAGGTATCTTTAAACACTTGACAGAATAAGTCAAAGCTAGACAGAATTTATGGAAAAGAGCGCCACCAATTAGAATTTGGACTCTGAATTTGGGAGATAAGAGTAATGAAAAAGGGCTGGGCCATGGTGGTACACACCTTTAATCCCAGCAATTCGGGAAGCAGAGGCAGGCGGTTCTCAGAGTTCAAGGTCAGCATGGTCTACAGAGCTAGTTCCAGGTCAGCTAGGGCTGTTACAGAGAAACCCTGTCTCAAAAAACTAAGAAAAATAAAAAAAGAATAACGAAGAAAACTTCCAATAGTAGAATTTAGGATGTCGGGGAATTCGTTTTGAAGCGCAACTGCAAAAGCTTGCTAACAAAACTTCCATCCCCAATATGGTCGGAAGGGATGCAAGGCCAGCAGATCAATCGTGTTTCTTATTAAAGCTTGCCTGCACACCCTCCTTATTTTTCTACAATCACTATGGGAAGGGAACAAGGCCTCCAGGTGACGGTCCTGTATGCCACAAGGGCCGCCCGCACCTTCCCCAGCTTTGGGGAAGCTCTGTCACTGGGAGAGCCAGAAGGTCACCAGCGGGCATCCACTCGGGGCGGAGCAGTCCCGTCAGCCAGGGAGTCTTGTCTAAGCCGGGGTAAAGGTCGCCAGCTGACCGGGCAGCAGTCGTGACACTCCCCGTGGGCGGCGGCCGAAAGAGGCTGCAGAGCCAAGTGTCACCTGAACCACGCTGGGCCCTGGATCCCGAGGTAGTCGCCGTCCAGCCTCCCCACGCCCCCGCAAGTCCCAGACCCCGAGGGTGACGTCACCCACGTCCACGCCTTACGTCCGAGGGCCTGTCGTAAGTGCCGGGCAAACGAGGCCTTTAGAGGAAGGGCGCCCTCTGGGCACACCCTAAATTGCTAGCCCGTACGCGCGCGCATCTCGCCGGAGCGGTCCCGATGCTGAAGCCAATGAGACGCGGCGACGCCACGTCGCAGCACCCGACGCTGCCGTACGTCGGGCCACGGGCGGGCAGAGCAAGTGCGGTTGCACCGACACCGGTACTTAGGCGCGGGCCGGCGTGTCCTTGGGCTAGAGAGCGGGACGTCCGTCTTCGGGTCGCAGCAGCGTTTGTGGTGTTGATCACCCGGGAGCGGTGAGCGCGGGACGGGGACGCGGGGCGGGCAGGGCGCGAGGAGGCCGGCGCGGGCCTGATCTAGTGGCACAAGGCCGGGCTGGAGGCGGCGTGGGCGCTGGGCCGGGGCCTGGAGTGCTAGAGATCTCTCGCCCACCGCCCTTCCAGAGAGCAGAGGCTGCTGCTCCTCAGGAACTGGCCGGTCCATTTTCCTGATCGGTCATCCGGAAGAGTGTGTTAATCATTCCCCTTGAATCCGGCTTGAATGGGTGACCTCGTGGTCACCCCCGCGATCTTAAGACGCGAAAGGGAGAAGGTTCCTACCCCAGCCCTCCCTTGCTTTCCGGTGCCAGACTAATGCAAGAGAGAGTAATTTAACCTCCAAATGAGAGCAGAGCCGCTGAAAGCACTTAAGACACACACACACACACAGCCCTATTGCTGTGCTTTGTCTTATTTTTGGAGGTGTCTTTAATTGGCAGCTCAGACAGCAATTCCGCATCCTGAAACGTTAGAATCGCAGTGGTTTTGGTTTAATGCAATTGTAGTCCAATTTCATATTTGTGACTTTTTGACCTTCCCTTCTTCTGAAACACAGATTTGAGTTGCTTTTCCACTTCCCTTACTTGAGCACAAACCTATCATGAACATAGACTTGCCTTAAGTGAGGTGGAGGGGTCTCCTAATTAGTGTGCTTGTTATTGGAGAGTATTCCAACTCTCAACTGAGTGAGGGAGGCGGCATCTGGCCAGGTGTTAAAGGACAGGAACTAGCAGTGGGTTGCTAGTTAGGTGATTTGAATGGTCATCAGGATCCATTGTATGTGTTTCCTGAGCGAGTTATTTGAACTGTTGGGTCTTTTCATTTTTAGAATTAAAAATGGGTGATGTTGAGAAAGGCAAGAAGATTTTTGTTCAGAAGTGTGCCCAGTGCCACACTGTGGAAAAGGGAGGCAAGCATAAGACTGGACCAAACCTCCACGGTCTGTTTGGGAGGAAGACAGGTCAGGCGGCTGGATTCTCGTACACAGATGCCAACAAGAACAAAGGTAAGTGGGACTGTGGTTAGATCACAGCACAGGCTGTACGGGTGTAACCAATGGTAGACTTACCAGGAGCATGAAACGCTTTAACCACTGCATCCCTTTCTGTTTAGGCATCACCTGGGGAGAGGACACCCTGATGGAGTATTTGGAGAATCCCAAAAAGTACATCCCTGGAACAAAAATGATCTTCGCTGGAATTAAGAAGAAGGGAGAAAGGGCGGACCTAATAGCTTATCTTAAAAAGGCTACTAAGGAGTAACTCCACTGCCTTATTTATTACAAAACAAATGTCTCATGACTTTTAATGTGCACCATAATTTAATTCATACCCCAAAATTCAGATCATGAATGACTAACAATGTTTTGTTGGACAGTCCTGATTTAAGTAAAACTGACTTGGAGAAAAGTGGATCTGATCTTTTTTAAAAGTAACGATTCCAGTTGCATAAACACTGTCACTGCTCTCCCTTTCTCAAGATACGATTGGACTTAGTTATTACAGTTCTACTTTCCACAAAGATGGGGGTGTCACCTCAAACCTACTAAATGGTCTTATAATTACATTTATATAATTGGACATATGAATATGTTTAAACACTGGGGAAATTCTGTCACCATCTCAGAAATGAGAAGACTCGCCTGTGGTAAAGTTTGTACTCCCTGCTGTTACAGGCAGTGGCTAAAGGTCAGGAGGCAACTGTCTATTCTTGACTCAGTGGTGTTATTTTATTAGAATTCCTTAAGTCAAAGGATGCTGCCTTTTATCATTGAAAGGCACTTACTGTGGTCTATGTATAATATATCAAATAAAGATATTTAGCAATGTTGTAGTTGATCTATTATGTTAAAATGCCTTTAGAAACCAGCAACTTAGACCTTTTAAATTCTTTGTTATCTAAGACTAAAATACAATTCACAATTATCCTTAAACACCCTTTCAGAAACAAAACTGGAACTTAGATATATGTGTGATTGCTGGTGGCATTCTTTGCCAACTTTTTATGGAAGGATTAAAATAAAGGAGATACTTGCAATGTAAGGTAATTAATTGCAGGTCCTGGTCTTCTGATTCTGCTTTGTTTGCCTGGGGACGAAGTTTTACTTGTTTAACTTGCCCTAATGTAAAGTACCTAGCAAAGGTGCTTGATGCTGTGACTTTGACCTCTGGGACAACTCATTAGAGCAACACTTCACCCTTGGTTCTTTGGCCAGAATATCACAGTATGAAGAGGAATAGTTAGGCGCTCGCTGAGTGGTCCTAAGTTTTACAGAAAATGGTAGGGAAATAGGGTGATAGCGGAGTCTTGACTGGGAAAGGAACTCATCGATGACTTCAAAAGTGTGGAGAAGGTTAAGATTTCTGAAGTCTGACAATCACTCTGTGACATAAATTTACTTCATTCATACAAGAAATTGAAAGCACAGTCTAGCTGGGCAGTGGTGGTGCATACCTTTAATCCCAGCACTTGGCAGGCAGAGGTAAGTGGCTCTCAGTGAGTTCAAGGTCAGCTTGGGCTACAAAGTTCCAGTACAGAGAAACCCTGTCTCAAAAAGGGGGGGGGGACCTCTGGAAACAAGTGGAGTTTTGGGGTTTTGTTTTTCAAGACAGCTTCTCTGTAGCTTTGGAGCCTGTCTTGGAACTTGGAGTTGAAGACTGTGCCACCATCATCCAGTTGTAGTTCAGGCTGCAAATTCAGAGTTTTAGGCTGATAGCTGGGTTTTTTGTTTGTTTGATGTGTATGGATGTGTGTCTGCACACTACATATGCAGTGCCCCTGGGTACCAGATGAGGGTGTCGGATCCCCTGGGACTGGTGTTCCAGAAGGGATCTGCAGTGTGGGTGCTAGGAATCCAAGCTGGGTCCTCTGGAAGAGTAGCTAGTGCTCTTAACCACTGAGTCATTTCCAGCCCTGATAGGCTTCTAAGCCCTTCAAAGGTTGAGCCTTTGTAACACAGGACTTAGTGACCCAAGTTTTAGTAAGAACTTTTTAACCAGTGCAAAGCAAGCCCTGAAGTTAATTCGTTTTCTTGCATCCTAGGAATGATAGAAAAAAAATGAGCAATTAAGATGTCTGTAAACATTTTGCTTAATACTTTATAAAATGGGGCTTTCATTATAAATTCAAAGGACCTCATGATTGGGAAGAATTTTAGAGATGTTTTGTAATCCAACTGGCATTTTACAGATGAAGTTAACTGAGCCAGGCATGAGTAGCTGAAGAGCAACATGGATGAAACCAGACCAAGGAACTATGGCTATAGATCAGTTTTCATCAAAAGTCCCTATTCTGAGCCTTTAATCCCAGCACTCAGGAGGCAGAGGCGGGTGGATATCTGAGTTTAAGGGCAGCCTGGTCTACAGAGTGAGCTTCAGGACAGGTTCCCTGTCTCAAAACCCTGTATTCTGGGCTGAGCAGATGGTTCAGGTGAAAGGCACCTACCTGCCTTCTTCAAGACTGATGGTGTGAATTCACTCCTGAGGATCCATGCAATTGAAGGAGAGAACTGACTCATACTGACCTCTGACCTCCACACTTGTCTGGCATGCACAATAAGATTCTCAGACTATAAAGAACTTTTCATTTCCTGTTCACTAGAAATCCATACTGGGCTCATGTTTAATAGGTGTCTGTATAACACTTAAACATCGAGTTAGTATTTTTAACATTTCATTTTAAATAAGTCTACAGTTTGAGAGTAGTAAACTTGGAGGAAGAACTGTCAGACAAGCTCATTGTGTTATTGGAGGTGTGTTGTAGACAATGCTGGCCTGGGGACTGATACTTTATCAATATATCACATAGAGACCCAACCCAACCTCACCCCAAATAGAAGGTGAACCCTCTAGAACTTGTTCATTTGTGTATTGTCTAGGACTGGTTTTGTGTTCCATTAGGACTTAGTAGTGATAGTTGGGTGTGGTGAGGCATGGAGGATTTTTGAGTTCTATGCCAGCCTGAGGTACACAGTGATGCTCTGTCTCAAAAGTAATAACAATTGCATAAAGAAATTGTGTCCCCAAAACTTTAATTCTTCTATGTGATGCTTTAAGAATGTTTCAACAGGCCCAGTGCTGTAGCTCAGTTGATAAGAATGTTTAGCATGTGTGACGCCCTGGTTTTGATACCTAGCATTCCAGGCATGGTGGTGCCTTCTTGTGATCCCAGTGCTTGGGAAGTAAAGGTGGGAAGATCAGAAGTTCAAGGTTATCCTTGGCTACATGGTGAGTTTGAGGTCAGACCGGACTACAGAAGGCCTTGTCTGAAAAATACAAACAGTAAGTAAGTCTCATTTGTTCAGAGCTTTGCGGCAAAGCAGTGTTGTGTTCTCATAGATTCAAAGCTTAAAGGTCACTTAGATGAATTACCTTGCTCGCTATCATACATGCTGACCCCTGCACTTTCCAGGGTGACTTATAAGCTTCATATGAACTGAGTTATCTCTCATTTTAAAGATTTATTGGCTGAATGTAGTACACACCTTTAATTGCAACACTAAGAGTCAGAGGCAGGAGGATCTCTGAGTTCAAAGCCAGCATGGTCTACAGAGAGATCCTGGCCAACCAGGGCTATAAAGGAAAAACCTTGTCCCAAAATAATAGTAAAGATGTATTTGTTTTATGTGTATGACTGTTTTGCCTGCATCGGTGTATGAGAACCAAGTGTGTGCCTGGTGCCTACAGAGACCAGAAGTGGGTATCAGATCTGGAATGGGTTACAGATGGAGCCTTGATCCTCTAAGATCAGCAAATATTCTTAACTACTTGGTTTGTTTAATAGAAACTGGGTTTACGCCAGGCCTATGCTTCTGTAGCCCGCACAAATGGAGCCTACTCAGTTTCCACATTGTCTACAACAGAAGCCTCGTCTTCCAGATCATTCCTGGCATAGACATGTTAGTGGGATCTCATCTACATGAACCTGTTGTCTTTGCTGCCTGTCATCACAGTCACTAAGCACTTGAGCTGGCTTAGACTCTCTGACACCCTCTCTTAATCAACTACATATCAGTGTCTGTTGTTTCTACTTGGACTAACCAAAACCTGGAGTGCTGTCATTCATTGTGACCTCTGTCCTTAGCCAGCCTCTTGGGATTTTTTAGGCAGAGACTGCTTATTCATTTCCCCGTCACCCAGACCCGAAACAGTCACACAGAAACTGAATTAATTGCGGTACTGTTTGGCCAATAGCTTAAGCGTATTTCTAGCTAGCTCTTATATTTTAAATTAACCTACCTCTATTAATCTGTGCATCACTTTGAGGTTGTGGCCTACAGGTAAGGCTCCTGCAAACATCTTTCTTCTCCAGGGTGGCTACTTGGCTTCTCCCTGACTCCGCCAACTTTCTGTGTATATCTTTTCCAGCCTGGCTATAGTCTGTTAAGCCATTGGCTGAAAGCAGCTTCTTTATTAACCAATGGCAATAAAATATATTCATAGCATACAGAGAGGAATCCCACATCTGGATTTCTTCTCAGTCTCTGAATTCTCCATATCCTCTGCCTTGGTCATTTGTGTTTCTTTTTGCATCTACTCTGTAAACCCAACTTGGGACCTCAGCCATATGCTTTCTCTGTTCCCATGCCTGACTTGAGTCTTGGAGAAAAGCCTACATTTCTATGGTCTGCCCCCCTGTAATCAGATCAACTCTTAAGTCCACTGAATCAATGGACCCCTATCAGATTCTGGTTTATGTATGAATTTCCCAGTTCTGCAACTATTGTCTTGTTGTGTTCCTTGAGCACCTTAGCCTTCCCCTTCCCCCTTTCAGCAAATGTCTTTCCCATTTCCAACATGAATTCTTTACCTCCTGGTTGCAAGGAAGATGCATTCACCTTGCTGTTTGACTTGACCATTGCTGTTTCTAATCTGGAGATGATTCAGATGTTCAGTAACACCATCAGTAGCTCACTCGGTATAAATACCTCAGTGTGATCTAACACCCTCAGCCTCCCTTTCCCACAGAAGGTGAATCTTCTTCTTGAAGAAGAAGAAATGATGGATGCCTGCTGGCTTTTGGTTCAGGACCTCTCCATCGGCAGCTACACCATAACACAAACATGCTGTGTGTATCAATTCTTAAGTAGTAACTTTTCTTATGTAGCAAGGGACCTTTGTAACTGTCCCTACCCGAAATAGACCTGCATAGGTCCAGACTAGATACGACATACCTTTCCAGCTAGAGTTATAAAATAAACTTAGAGACTTTCTAAATCACATACACAGGTTTTGTACATGCTATATTTGAAGTATGACTTTTTGTAGCTTTTACTAGTGAAGGCTGCAGAAAAACAGGTCCCAAAGAGTTTGGGCCTTCTGCTGACAGTGCCTGACAGAATCAAGTACACTCAACTTTCTGTACCTTAGATTCCTCATCTGTAAACTGATACTGTATTAGCCCTTGGTGTTGTGGAAATTTAAGAAATTGTATGTGGCATGTTAACCAGCACTCAATTGAACTACGTTAGCTAGTTTTGGGCTAGCTGGGCCAGACATACTGCCATACTGTTTACAGTTATAAAAATGCAATTAGGAGTAAAGGACACAGATGATTCTTCCAAGTGGGGTGAACCTGAAGCTCACTGGGACAAAAAGAAGGTTTGTGTCCATGACAAAGGCCTAAAAGTTCACCTATCCCTGTGTGAGATCAAGAATCCATGAATCACAACCTTCTCAGCGTTTCTAAAGAGAACTGAGTTCGGCTAAGAGAATGGATGCTTAATGTTCATGCAGTCATCTCTAAGTGTGTCTAGTTTTTCCAGTAGCCTGGCCACGCTTTCGAGTTTTGTCTGCTTGCTGTTTTGGTTGGTATTCTGTTAGACAGAGTCCTGCCTGAGGTTAGGCTGCTCTGAACTTGTGATCCTTCTGCCTCAGCATCCTAAGCACTGAGAATACAGGTGTGTTGCCACCCTTGGCTGGCTGGATTTTTGTTTTTGTTTTTAGATTTGAGATGGTGTCACATGCCTATAATCCCAGCACTCAAGAGACTGAGGTGAAAGGATTGCAATTTTTAGGCCAACCTGGGCTACATAGCAAAGGTCCTGTCTCAA